ATGGAACAGAACAATCCTTAAGAAATTGCATTGAAGAAATAGATAAATTTTATAAATTATCAGGACTTAAAATTAATCTCTCTAAAACACAAATAGTCTGGATAGGAAGTAAAAAATATTCAAATGAAAAACTACTTAATGAAATGAACTTTCAATGGACAACACGATTTAAAGTACGAATTTAATCTGTTATTACAGATTTGTTGAATTCGTAATAACCAAATTCGTTGAATTGGTTATAACGAATTCAACAAATCTGTAATAACAGATTAAATTCGTTATAACGAATTCAATAAATCTGTAATAACAAATTAAATTCGTTATAACGAATTCAATGAATCTGTAATAACAAATTTAATTCGTTATAACGTATTTTAAAAGGTTGTAATAACAAATTAAATTCGTTATAACGAATTCTAAAAGGCTGTTAAAACAAATTAAATTCGTTATAACGAATTATAAAAATTTGTTATAACAAATTAAATTCGTTATAACGAATTCTAAAAATCGTTATAACGAATTCAAAAATATTTTTGATAGGTCCTAAATGGGCTTCCGTATATTTAATACTGGTTCAAATTATATTGAAATAATATTACAAAGTATAACTAATGACTTTTGGAAAGATATTTTAATTGCTTTCAAAAATATAGAAGACAAAATGAAAATAGAGTCATGGGAAGATTTTATCACTCAACCATTATGGTACAATAAAAAACTTAAAATTGACAATAAGCCCATTTTTTACCCCAAATGGTTTATGAATGATGTAATTTTTATCTCAGATTTGTTAGATGAAACAGGATCTTTTTTAGAATTAGAGGATCTATAAGCAAAATTTAATATAGAAACCAACTTTTTAACATATGCAAGTTTACAGAAAGCAATAAAAGAAGCGATGGCTGTAGAAAAAGTAAACAAAGAAAGATTAAACCCAAGGCCCATTCTACCTTTTTATTTAAAATTATTCTGCCTATGTAAAAAAGGATCAAAAGCTATGTATAACATTTTGAATACAGAACTACGGAAGCCCATTTAGGACCTATTAAAAATATTTTTGAATTCGTTATAACGATTTTTAGAATTCGTTATAACGAATTTAATTTGTTATAACAGATTTTTAGAATTTGTTAAAACAAATTTATTGAATTCATTATAATGAATTTAATTTGTTATAACAGATTCATTGAATTCGTTATAACGAATTTAATTTGTTACAACAGATTTATTGAATTCATTATAACGAATTTAATCTGTTATTACAGATTTGTTGAATTCGTTCTAATCAAATTCTTGAATTGGTTATAACGAATTCAACAAATCTGTTATAACAGATTTAATTCGTTATTACGATTTCAATAAATCTGTAATAACAAATTAAATTCGTTATAACGAATTCAATGAATCTGTTATAACAAATTTAAATCATTATAACGAATTCAATAAATCTGTCATAACAAATTAAATTCGATATAACGAATTCAATAAATCTGTTTTAACAAATTAAATTCGTTATAACGAATTCTAAAAAATCGTTATAACGAATTCAAAAATATTTTTTGATAGGTCCTAAATGGGCTTCTACGGAAGCCCATTTAGGACCTATCAAAAAATATTTTTGAATTCGTTATAACGATTTTTAGAATTCGTAATAACGAATTTAATTTGTTATAACAGATTTTCAGAATTCGTTATAACGAATTTAATTTGTTATAACAGATTATTGAATTCGTTATAACGAATTTAATTTGTTATAACAGATTCATAGAATTCGTTATAACGAATTTAATTTGTTATTACAGATTCATTGAATTTATTATTACGCATTTAATTTGTTATTACAGATTTATTGAATTCGTTATAACGAATTTAATCTGTTATTACAGATTTGTTGAATTCGTTATAATCAATTCAAGAATTTGGTTATAACGAATTCAATAAATCTGTAATAACAGATTAAATTCGTTATAACGAATTCATTAAATCTGTAATAACAAATTAAATTCGTTATAACAAATTCAATAAACCTGTTATTACAAATTAAATTCGTTATAACAAATTAAATGAATCTGTTTTAACAAATTAAATTCGTTATAACGAATTCAATGAATCTGTTATAACAAATTAAATTCGTTATAACGAATTCAATGAATCTGTTATTACATATTAAATTCGTTATAACGAATTCAATAAATCTGTTATAACAAATTAAATCCGTTATAACGAATTCTAAAAATCGTTATAACGAATTCAAAAATATTTTTGATAGGTCCTAAATGGGCTTCCGTACTAATTGATATTAATATAAAAAAAAATAATATATATATATATATATATATATATATATATATATATATATATATATATATATATATATATATATATATATATATATATATATATTTTCTACAGGTCCTGATTATTGAATTTGATTAAACGATTTTAATTCTTTATAACAAACTTTGGAATTTGTTTAAACGAATTTAATTTGTTATAACAAACTTAAGAATTTGTTTTAACGAATTTAATTTGTTATAACAAATTAAAGAATTCGTTATAATGAATTCAACAAATTTGTAATTACAGATTAAAATCGTTATAACAAATTAAAAGAAATTTTTATAATGAATTAAATTCGTTAAAACAAATTCGAAAATTCGTTATGTCAAATTTCAAAAATATTTTTAAAGGTCCTAAATGGGCTTCCGTACATATATGGAACAAAAACATGCCAATGAAAGATTTAAATGCTGCTTCTATCTTTAAAGAAGCAATAAATTAGAACCCAAATACCTATATAATAGGGATGTCAAATCGGTCAATATTTGATAATCGGTTACTCGGACGTTTTTCCGATCGAGTACCCGGGTACTCGGTAAAATTGCAAATACAAATACAAGTCTGTTAATTTTCTTATTTTCTTAAACTCAGTTAAGCTGTGTTAAACCCTAATGTTACTTTATGTTATGTTTTTAGTGCATGTTTAAAACACATTGAGTCCAACCAAAATGATTTACTGTATTTAATTTATTTATTTGAAAAAATACACACACACGAAAGACATCAATTTGATACACCAACATTTACAAATGATTTACATTTTTTGTTTGTGAAGAAGTTTTAATCAATCTGCTATGCATCTTTGCAGTGATGACCACACTAGCGAACCAGTGGGAACAGATGTTTTTGGGATCGCTTGTCGTATATTATTGTTTCATCCCCGTATACGCTAAATTTACTCCGCATAGCTGACTTTAAACATTTTTTTTTCAATCTTCAATTTCATACCAAAAGAATTCTTTACATTTTTAAGTCGGTAGCAGCATGTCTATACATGTCGGGTTTCGGTACCGTTTACTAAATAAATTAAAAATGATTTAAAGTTAACAGATCATACTTTAAAAAATCCTCAATGAAAGCGGTGAAAAATAAAGCTTTCATAAACTTTTAGAATTGAGATATATCTTTTCTCAAAGAGGGGGATTGACATCGCCTTATACGCTTCAATTTTTTGCAATAACAAATAAAATTCGTTTGAACAAATTCAAAAATCAGGACCTGTAGAAAAATATATATGAATTCAATATAACAATTTGTTAAATTCGTTTTAACTAAATTTAATTCGTTATAACAAATTAAAGAATTCGTTGAAACGAATTCAATTTGTTATAATAAGTTTTAGCACACCACATGATGACGGACGAAAACAGCAATAAAAATGAACATTTCTATAGCAACAATATTACATTGTTCTATTTAATTTGAGATTTTGGACCTACGTTTTAGTGACACATTATCTCTCAGAGATGCACAAACTGACAAAGTTTAACGATTTATAGTATCAAAAATTTAGAGTCAGACAGACGGACAGATGGACATGAACACCATACTGTAAAGGTCCCATAATATGGACACGTAAAAATCCATAATTATTTTAGCTCAGGTAATTAACACTGAAATCTAATCTATTTCAGCCTCAACAGCCCATTTCAATAGAACACCCGGACGAGAGATTTTTCATTTACTACGAGATTGGTGAGACAGGGGACAAAGTGTTTGAGCTTCTTTTGTACCCAAGTATGCTCCTGCAATAACATCTTAAGGACACACGCAACGTACCTTACCTACTGATAATTTTTCAAGATATTCTTAATTTAAGATCATAGTGTCATCAGATATTCATAGACAAAAAATCAGTATGCATTACCAGGTGTTTTCGAAAGATAAAAATTAATGAAAATTTTTGGATGATTCAAAGAAAAATAAATAAATAAATACTAAACATATATTCTAATTGTTTCATTAATCCAAAATTGTTTTTGATTATGTGTACAATACCATACGTTTAAATTAAAATATAACACACAGTTCCTTAACTGGAACTCTTCAGCTCCATGGAAAAAGACAGAAAAGTTCAAACTACATTGCGTATGACCTTAAGGACATATGATACAAACAAAAAATTGTATGCCTGGATTGGTATATATTTCTTGGCCTATTTTTGTTGCAAATAATGCAAATAATAAATTTTCAAAATATTAAGAAATTAAAAAAAGCAGCTAAACTTGTTAATTATACTCATTGAAACATGACTCAGGTTATTTTCTATTTTTATGGCAACAGTTTGTTTGTATCATCTGTCCCTAATACATACATAAAAATAACGAGTTACATACTTGTTCATTAATCAGCTGAGCTACAAAAAATGTTTTTGTTGATTTTTGTATTTCAGATCAATGTATCAAATACAGCAGTGCTAAACAATGTCTTGAACTGGAAGAATTAGGAATGTCAAAATCAAAGTCCAAGAGATCATTCATTAATCCAAAGACTCAATTTCAGTTTGAGCCACAAACCTCTCTGGAGGAAACTGAAGTTAGGAAGTATGTCAAGTCTCACAAATATGGTCTTTGCTGCTTTAGTTCAACAGAGGAAAACAATCAGGGGCCATATCTGGATGGTATAAAGCCATGTAATGAGTTCAAATTGAAAAGTGAAGAGGATGTAAAAACTGAATTATCAATGGAGTCTGGAAATGGGGATGAAATAGATGCATGCATATCAATTACATCTTTGACGAGAGATATCTAAGACTTCATATTCTTTTTTCTAATTTGCCTCTGAATACCATGACTGTGTCTTTTTACATTACAATTACATGGAATCAAAGTAACAAGTAAGAAAGATCAAATTGTTTATTAAATGCTCCAATATCATGTTTTAACATTCATCCTATAACACAAACATTAAACAAATCAATAAATAAATTTACTTTCATTCATAAATTTCTACAAAGTAATTATGAATTAACATTTTCTTTATAAACATTCTTTTTTTCATAGAAAATACATAACTACATAATCAGTTTATAATAATATTTTGAGATCAAAATATGGTCAACATATATTTTCACACAAAACAAGTTCTTCTGCTCACTTTATTAATTATTAAACAGCAATGAAACCACCACTTACTTTAATTTTTTTGGGTATTCAAAAACATTTTTACTGTTAATAAAAATCTTTGACTAAATCAATGACTGGGACTCTTTCCTTGTTAATTAATTGTGATTCTAGCCCCTGCGTTTTGTTTGACCTTTCACCTCTTGATTCTAGCCCCTCCATTTTGTTTGACCTTTCACCTCACAGCCTGGGCCATATGGAGAGGGTTTAACATCAACTTGAGTGCAGCTCCCTTCAAATTGGCCCCTCTCAGGTTTGCCTCTTGTAGATCACAACCAGACATATCACAGTTCTGTAAAAATTAAGTTAAATAATAAACTAACAGTACAGGTTTTAGAATGTAAAACAATGAATGAATGAATTTACAATGACACATGAACATACAGTATACTTTTGACCATTTCTTTCACAAAATCAATCCATTATTCTCTGTGGTCTTATCTAATAACTTAATTACCTAGTTGTTAAATTTTGTTTCCACTTGTCTATGTCTTATTCATACATAATTCACATTTAGAAGTTTAAAAAGTTTTATTCCCCCAAGTTAAAGTTTCAGAGATTGAGATTTTAAAAAATCCACATACATGTATTTAATATTCAAAAAACTTTTTTCTTTCAATAGTTAAAACTTTTTCTCCATCTTCATCAATATAGAGAGTCCAGCTCTCATTCAAGTAAATCTCTGTTTATACCATTTCTTTATCAAAAGAGTCACTGATCCAATGTTCCTACCGAGTTACATGTATATCAAAAACCTGAACTTTAATAAAAACCAGTCTTTCTACAATTATCAACTATTAATTCTGAGATATAAACTTCTCATTGTCCAATTTGTTGTGTTCAAAATAGACTGTTACATGTACCACAGAGACTTAAAAGTACATATGTATTACTATTTATTGTAAAACATTTAAATGAAATTAAAACCAAAATAGTTACACAATTATACACATTTTAAACCTCACAGTAAGACAGTGAAAACCCCTAATAACTGACAGTCAAAAGTGTATCAAATCTAATACTCTGGTGCTATTACACATTTTCACTCTACAGTTCAAGAAACAATCACTTATTTCTGTGTGTACCTCTAGAACCGCCCCCGCTAATATTGCTCCCCTGAGATCACGTTCTGTCAGTTTACTTGTATATATACATACATCCATACCTCTAGATCCACCCCAGCTAATACTGCTACCCTGAGATCACGTTCTGTAATTTTACTTATATATGTATACATACATCCATACCTCTAGATCTGCCCCTGCTAAAACTGCTCCCCTGAGATCACAGTTCTGTAAGTTGGCATTCTTTAATGTTGCCACTCTCAGATTCACACCTGCCATGTGACTTCCCTCCAAATTCACACTTTTCATAAGGGCACCTGCTCAAAAAAGTAACATCCACTTAAAAAATTTATTTGGGAGTACTTCATTTCTGTGTAATTAGGCAAGACAGTCTGTTCATGAAAATTTCATTCTCTTGTATATTAGTACATGTATCTCCAAAGATTTCATAGGGCAATAACCTAAATTAATGAAAATTTTGCTAATAAAGAGTCAATGAATGTCTTGTGAAATAAAAGTGTCACCAAAATTTAGTGATCTACAGTAGTATTCTTCAAAAGTAAGTACATTTGTACCATGTAATATTTTATAACCTGAATAAAAAGCGTAATAAAAAAATTAATTGTTGCCAATCATTTTTGGGCTAAAACAGGTAAATAATTTACCCTCCATGTTAGCTCGACTTCCTGCAGGATCCTCAAAGTTGCATCCCTTTAATGAAGTGCCCTCCATATTTGCACACAGCATTTTCACTCCCAGCAAATTAGCAGACTGTTAAAACACAAACAAAATAAGCTAAGTATTATTTTATTCTATCAAAGAAAATTTATAAAGTTTTTCACTTAATTTCATATACATGTAAAACCATAATGTGTCACACTTAAAGTATACTGTACATACATGTACATACAAAGGTTTTTTTTATTTACTATTAAGGAAAATAACAAAATAGCAACAATAAAGAGTTGCAATAAGGGTTGGAAACCACTTCCCCTTTAATTACTGGTAAAAAAAATTACCAGTAAAATACTGCTTCATTTATTACTAGAGTCAATATTCATATTTACATTGAAATCCTCAATTTGATATTTTTTCATTAAATTGAATTGAGTAAAAATAAATGGTTGCTGATTTTTTTCAATTTACAATTTTCAGTAATTTATTCATTTTTTCAAAAATACTGCATAAGTGGAAATTTTAGCAAGACGCAAATTTCGTGATTGTCCTAAAAAACTGGTATCTTATTTTTAGCAAGAAGTAATTTTAGCGATAAATGCTCACTAAAGAAGCTATTACATATAAAATGAAGTAAATTTTTAGCAATATTTAATTTTAGCGATCTTAGCATTCTCGCTAATAATGCCAAAATCAAATCCTCACTAAAAATTCTCCTTAATACAGTATTTACATATTGAATCAAGTGTTAAATTGCTATAAATAAAACCAGCCATTTTCTGTTCTTTGTAGCTTATTGTGGACAGTTACCTTCAGTTGGCAACAGTATGACATACAGTGTATTTTATGTCAAACTTATTAACTTTCAATCAACACTTATTGTGCATTTTAAATAATTTTTTATTATATTAATTCATCGTTAGTTATCTTAATCTGTTTCTGATTTTTTTATCAGACAGCTTAAAAAACCAAATTAATTTATTTTAAAGATACGATGTATTAAATTGGATACAATAAAACCACATTTTCTCTATCAAATAAATTGATAGATTTCAGTTTCATTAAAAATGTCTCATCATTTCAAAAATACAGGTTTTGTATGATCAAAGTGTTTTATCCTAGAGAGTATTCAAGCCTAGTAGCAATATTTTGGCAGAAAGAACAAGCTAGCACATGAATCTAACATTGTTCATATATAGATTAGAAAATGAAGAGTTGTTTAAAACAGATACATGTACTACATACACTTACATCAAGAACAGCATGACACAAATCAGCCCTCTCAAAGTTACAGTAGGATAAGTTTGCTCCGCTTAGATTGGCATTCTTGAGAACAGCATACTTAAAGTTGATATACCTCAAGTCCAGTTTGGAAAGGTTTGCATTTGTAAAATTCATACCCTGAATTAAGAAAAAAATATAGTGTTTTTTTTCTATTCAATTTTATAGCCTACCATGTTTTATCATCAGAAATTTAGACAATTGATTTTCAATTTTAAAAAAAAATTACTTCAATATTCTATATTCTAACAAATGTGTACATGTCTTTAAATTATACTTTATATGAAAAAAATTATCAAGTTACACATTTTCCCCCTTTGATCAAAACATTACACTTTCATTGGTTTAAAAATGACCCATGACTTTCAGCTACAGTATATTTCTGTGTCCAGAAGGTTAAAATTAATATTATATTGATATAATATAAAATCATCTTGACATAAGAAATCATTCAATTATACTGTAAATGTCAAAATATATCTCTGTGAAAAAAAAAAATTCTTAGGTTTGTTTGTGAACTTTTTACAAAAACATAATGGTCTACTGAATCTCGTGTAATGAATTGAATGGAGAAGTTTACCTGACATCGGAGCTCCTTATTGGTATATATGAATTGAATGGAGAAGTTTACCAGACATCAGAGCTCCTTATTGGTATATATGAATTGAATGGAGAAGTTTACCTGACATCGGAGCTCCTTATTGGTGGGGGTAGATAACAGTCGCAGAACAAATTCTCTCCTTGTGATGGGGGTGCTATCATCTGGGACTTGGTTTTTCTGATATAATTACAAAATATAAATATGGTGCAAGTCTGCAGTGATAACATGTGACAAATTTTTTTTTAGTATTACCATGTAACCCCCACATCCAAAGAAATGATATCACAATTTATACTCAAAAGTATAAACCTCATATGATATTATCCTTCCTAGAAACATATGTAGAAAGTTAGAAACAAAAATACATTAAACTTAATGTCCTTCAGTCCATAAGGATTTTATATTTTTCATTTTAACACTGTACCTCTATCACATCTTCCAAATTTTCCATCAAAGAAGTCAGACCAAAAAACTTTGCTTCTTCTAGGACACCTTAAAAGAAAAGAACTATATGCGGTATATTGCATATATTTGCCCCCACAAAAGTCAAATTTTGAAACCTTCCTGAAATGTGCTGAATTCAATAAATTGTATGAGAAATATAAATTAATAGAAAATATTATAGTGTCAAAGCAGTGTATTCACAATATTTGTTTTTCTGACATCACAAACTACTCCAATTTTATATCCTTTTTCAGAAAGAGGACAAAATGGACAAAATTTTAACAATTTTAGCTTTAAAATTTATAGAGCGCAAGTTTGTTCAGGAACAATATTGACATATTTCATTGATATTATCATTCTACACATTATATCAAAATATTGATCCAGAACACACATGTGCTCGGTGACTTTTACTCAAAATATCGACGAAATATGTACATTTTTCTGTAAAATTCATTTAAAACTGAAATTTACATCATGTTTGTGACATCATTACGTACATATGGCGTCATTACTTATGAAAATATTCAGTGCTTTGAAGTCAGCATATACTCCCCTGTTTAAGAACTTAATTAAATATATCTCCATCAAAGTTTGATTTGGGGGGCAAATATTGGTTATTACCGAATAAAGTTCTTTTGTAGATTTTTCAGAGTATTCATGATGAATTATTTTTTGTGGGATATGGACTCAGTAGCACAATGATGTCTTTATGTCACACTGTCTACTTTAAAATTTGCCCGTCTTAATAAACTCATATTTTGACAATGAATAAAATTGAAGCAAATCTCTTTTTTTTTTTCTTAAAAATTTAAAAATCGTAATAAAGTATCTTCATCAATTTCCCCATTCGTGATACCTTCTGGATTGATGTCCTTATCAAGGATAAGTTGGCCATGCCGGAGGTAGTTTAGGATTGGTTCAAAATATCGGGGACTTCTGTCAATTAAATATGCTCCAGTAACATCCACACTGCTGTACCATTCTATATAAAGGTAAAAAAATAAAGGAGAGATTTTCTGTATTGATAAATACTTTAAAATGATATAATAACTTCTCTATCAAAGAAGCAACTGCTACTTGGAAAATGTTTTTAATCGTTAATACCGGTATGTAGTAAAGAGTATCCCAAAATTCAGGTTTTAAACAATCGCTTTTAATCAATCTTGAGTGAATTTTAACTTATTTTTTCTCAATCTGTGAATTAATACATGTATAATCAATATTCATGTTGTATACAAAAGCAAATCTTTGGATATTGACAAATGTTTCAAAATAAGAAGAAGAAAAGGTTTATCTCTTTTAACAATGTATTTAATTAATTTTTAAAGTTTAAAAATTAAAATTTGACTCACGGTCTTCATCACAAAACATCCTAGCCAGCATACTTTCTGGTTCTTGTTGTGTGAGAGTACTCCTGTTATAAAAAGAGAATTATTAAAATGTTCCTGAAAATACATGTACTGACAAAAAAGTAATACAAGCTAAAAATTAATGAACAGACTAGAATGGACTATTTTTATATAGGTAGGCATGGTTAGTTTGAATTTTTTTGTAAACTTGCAGTATTTTGGATTACCTTGTTGTGGTAAACATTCTGCCACCCACGTTGAGAGTCACCCATTCTGAGCTGCTACACGTACACTTATTTGTTGTCCCATCATTAGTGAGACGCGAGTGTCGCTTACAATCATTTCTAGGGCTAATGGAGGAAAATGACCGTGGACGAAACACAACTCCTGACTTGGACGGACCTGGTGAAGACATGAAATAAAAAGTTAGCTTTAGATTATTCATTCTCATCTTTGCTAGCCAAGTGTCCTTTTTGCATCTCCTCATTTCCCCTTAACTGAATTATTTATGCCTCCAAGCTCGTGATTTCAAAGCATCCAATGAAATTGTCTTACCAAATACAGGTTAGAACTTTTTCTTTCCTTGGTGAACTCATTTTTCTTTTTGTAAAGTACATGTACATGCTCTTGTCACTAAGAATGATACAGGTAACTCAATTAATTCACGAGACGGCAAAAATACACATACTAAATCTGCCTAAGGGGGAGGTGAGGGGATTCAAATTGGTCACTTGGCTAAGAAAAGGTGAATCATTCTTGATAAAAATACTTTCATTGTTCACAGGTTATATTTAGTGTAAGATTATAATTGTGTTTGAGTGTTTGTAAATATGTTTTAAGTATCTTTGTAGACAAAGATGAATGTAAGAAAAAAAAAACTTACTAATAAAAGGTTTTCCATCTGAGACATAATACACATCATCATCTCTAGTGAAAAAAATTTAATTGATAAAAGCAATTTTCAAAAGCAAAACAGGTATATTCTCTAGGAATGTTTGTCTATAGTTAATTCTTAAAGTAATTATCATTTTGTTGATTAATGATCAAGGACTTGAGACTGTATACCCGATTTTGCTAGGATTGTCTCAAGTCCCTGTGTTAAAAATGATCTCAATATCTGACATGTTGTAAAGAATATCCAAAAATATATTTAACTTATTACACACATTTTTCAATCCTTGTGTTCTTTGTTTAAATTATAACAAAAACATCCCACAAAATTACCTGACAAAAGCGATGTCGTCTAGCACTGCCCCCTGTGCTGTGTACAATATTTTACAATCACAATCAAATTTCTGACCACAGTCTTCTAAAAGTTCTTTAAATGTTTGAGTTGGTGGCACAAGCAGCAACTGTCAGAATAAAAAAATCAAATTCGAATTTTGTTAAATTATATCAATTTTAAATTGCTTTCAAAACATAATCAGATAATGTCAAATCTCAATCAGCTGTCAATAATCAATCTCCAGAATTTCTGAAGCATATTTTTTACAGATGGTCTCGTTCTCAGCTTGCCTTACCTTCCCATCTGCTGGTATGCCATTCTGAAATACTGTAATTCTCTTCATGATGGCTTTGACTGCAAAAATGAACTTATAGGATGCATTTTAAAAATTACATCAACAACGACAAAAATAGATCAAAGCAAATTATTCTATTTTTGGTTTTTGTCGCTTATGTATCGTAAAAAAGAAATAGAGAAGTCGTTCCTATAATATTCGTAGCTTCAGGGGAGGCTCTATGCACAGCTTTATGCTTGGTGCGCAAAGTTAGAAGGTTGACCCTTGTCCTCCTCAATGTCGATATAGGATAACTGATTAAATAAATGAAAGGGTTTTCCTAGGGAAAAAGGCGAAATATTATGAGTTCTGATTTTATATTTTCAGTATATTATAGTATATAATAGGCCTATCATTTCATTCTTGCTCATTTCTAATCAGTATAAAGTAACCGAAAACAGAATTTTGGCAGTTTGTTTACATAATTTTATTTAAAAAAAAAGTATTATCATGAGTGCTGTAGTGATTTCTTGTGTAAAAAAGGAATGAATTTTTACGGATTTTTTTCCCCGCTGTTTGAGGGAGCTTTAATTTTTATGAATACAAAACTAATTGAACCTATACTAACATGTAGGTATAACTGAATATTGTTAAACGTGTACATATCTAAAAATTCTTTGTGGATTTGTTTCAATTGTACCTATCTTCAAATGAATTGTACTCATCTTCAAATGAATTAAAGATAGCTATAATTCAATTGAACTATATCTTTAATTGAAAAGTATTTAGAAGAAAAAGGGAACTAGCGACTAGAGACATTCAGTAAACTCTCATATGCTGAAGTTTTTTCGAAATTAAATATATTTTGTATTAAAATTAACTTTTTTTTAATAACGGGAACTAATTTACATACCTATATTTCACGACTCTGTATAAGCTATAATTATGTATGGTATACTAATTTCGAAGTTCACAATGTCTTCCAGTGACCTTTTTTTTTTGGGGGGGGAGGGTGTGTTCTTAGTATATAGCCACTCCTCTGACTACATGTATATGGTGAAGCCCCTCAGTCCCGGTAACTTAGTCTACCCATTTCTTTAACTCCGTTTTCAAGGAAATAAAGTAAATATTCAATAAATGTAGCCTGCGAACCGACAAAAATGAATGAGTATGCAGGACTTTTATTAACCAGAAAATCTTACATATGAGTATTGAGCAGAACTACATGTATTATAAACACTAAAAATTAGAGATACAACATAGGCGTCGGAACCGGGGGGGGTGTGGCTAGGGGGGCTTAGCCCCCCCCCTTCCACTTTTTTTTTAAAATATATAGTGTAGACATTGAAAATAGCTTCGTAGGTTTAGCCCTCCCCTTTCTTTCCACAGACACGTCGCATAGGTTAAAAATGGGGAAAGTGGTGGTCTTTGGAATAAAAATTTTGATACTGAAGTTTGAGCCTACTACCTACCCCCCCCCCCCCCCCCCCCACGAAATTTACACTTAGCCCCTAATTTGCTTCCGACGCCAATGTACAAAGCAAACACACAAGCTTTATATTGATTCTACAACGTGGTTCTTGCCGAACCTCGAGGGATTTTCATTATACAAATAGGAAATTGGGACAAGTGAGCATGACTGTTATCCGTTTTGTATTTCGTAGGAAAGAAAACGAAAGTAGATTAACTGTCAAGTATAAAACAACCATATGTTTTCTACGTTTTAAAGTAAGTATATGCTTTTAAAGACGTAAAAGAATATGGAGGAAATATGTATTCCCATATAGGCACCATGATTGAGTATAGAACACTGTCTATATAGCTAGTGGAAAATTGTCTATATGAACAGCAACATTTCTACGTTTCCTGAGTGTGCATGTAAAACCATTTATGATGTACATGTAAGTTAATTTATCATGCATGAAATTGAGAGAGATATTTTATATCATGTGAAGTACATTCTCGATTCATGGAAGGTGTGACCAATTATGCTTCAGAGATTTATTTTTTTATTTTAAAAGACATTTTAAAACACATCAATTTCTGCCTATCATATAAGCATATATTGAATTAATTATTAATTTATTATTATTATTATCATCATCATCATCATCATCATCATCATCATCATTATTATTATATACTGATATATCTAGTCTCTATTTCCATTTTCGTTTTGCTTCAGAGAAGTTTTTTTAATTATATGTATTTTGTCCTCTAACGTTTTCAGAAGGAAATGGGAGTGACACGACTACTGTACTTACGTCAATGCCTCAAGGCTATTCTAGCTATTATAAAATTTAATGCATAAATGTGCATAACAAAAGCACGGGAAACTAACCTAGCATAATAATTACAAAATTAGGTAATTTTAACTTAGACATTATCAACTAAGACCTTTTAAACTTTCAATGAAATGGGTGGTGGATCCACAGAAACAGGGGACAAAACAAAAGATGATAAGCCTAAAACTGATCATCACTGTGATGAAGACGAGAGGGAAATAACCTGTGGACTTTCTTTGAAAGTGTCATCTGAAGAAACAGAGCTTAAATTGAACGAAAACGAAACAAAGAATGTGGAAAATATTTGTTTAAAAACAAATGAAGAAAGTGAAAAGAAATTGGAAAAACAGTTAGAAGAAAGAAAAGTGGTGACGACACATGAAACCAGTTCAATGAGTAGCATTTCATCCCCATTATCATCTAAACTCTTAACGAATTCCCAAAACTCAGTCTTGACAAACGATGTACAAAACAAGGATGGTACTGAAAATAGCAATTTGGATGAAAAACAACAGAATCGGCAAAGAAAAGACCCCTTGGAGGATGAAATGAGAATGAACAGATGTCATAATCCAATAAACTTAACTTCAGAAGCGATTAAGGCTTTCGAGAGAAACAGAGAAAATATTACCCGTGCTTTTAAAGACCTGGAACGTTTAAAACATAACACTACCCAGAACAATGCTAAAAATCATCAACAGAAGAAGACGAGCTCTCAAGTGTTCAAATTTGAAGGAACCACATGCACCCAAAAGGAAGATAGGGTATCTAAAAAGATTGGCACTTTTTCAAACGCACATAATTTAAAAACTAAGTCACTTGTTTTCAAGTTGCCTTCTTCAGAGACGATAAGAAAACAATTCCCTCAAAGAGCGAACGAGAAGGCCAAGATGGCGTGCAATCGATGTAACAGTTGGTGTTTGTACTGGAACGTTTGTAGAGATTGTATGGTGTACCTTTGTGATTCCTGTACAGAAATTTACCCACATTCACCAGATCACACCACAATCAGAGCTAAAGCCTTTTCTGACTTCGGATGCCTCGATCACATACAGATCTTTAAATATTTCTGTCCTGTCTGCAGCCGTTACAGATGTGGTGACTGTATTAAACTGGGGAAATGTCAGGGACATGAATTAAAAGATGCCTTTGTAAACCAAGATCAAACTGAGGTCAGTAATTCTTGGTTAAAATTAAAAAACATTGATGATATGCATGTAAATCACTTGAGAATTGCATGTATAGGTTCCTTTACAGTTGCAAAGGGGAATGGGTTGATTCATTTTTATCATTATTTGCCCTTTTGTGAAGGTATTTCAAGGGGGAAAGTTCAACGGAATTTCAAAGTCATTGAAAAGTAACATCTAAAGAATAATTTACGTCGAAAATGCCTTATAATCTAAAGCAATAGATTCTTATTTTCCATAGATTTGCGGAACTCCGAGCAAAAAGTCTGACGGAACAGGCGCGTAGCTGCCTATACGCAAGTACGCAAGTGCGTACACATCATTTTCCAAAAGAGAGAGAGAGAGATAAAAGAAAAGAAAGAAAAAAAAGAAAGAGAGAAATGTATTCGGTAAAAAAGAGGAACTATCCGTGTTTCAAATTATTTTGGGTCTTGTTGTTTCGAATCAAATTTTGTTCAGCATGTCTGCACATTCAAATTTAGTCTTTTATGAAATCAATTCCAAAAACATCTTTCAACAAATTTGAGGAAAAAATATTGTTGAACCAAAATGTTCAACTGTTAATCCGCGTAATCTTGATCATCCGGAGAAATATTCGATGAAGAAAAGCGATCTAAGCTAGGCCAGTAAGGGACATTGATCTAAAGCAAAAGTTACAAGGGTCTTGGACGACTATACAAGATTTTTAGTTTCCGTTGAAGTAATGAATAAATGTCGTTAAACAAACAAAAATGGTATAATTTAAATTATGGTGAAAAAAGTAAATAATATAATATAGCTTCTTAGACTGATGTTACCAATTTATAGAATTTATTATTTAAACATTCTCAAATTGTTTCAGCTATCAAATATGAAGGTAACCAAAAGACAACAACACCCCCGTTTATATTTTGAAATATTTAAACTCCAATGATAACGATATTGAATTACTACTCTGTTTTAACTTGATACACTTGGAAACTTTTTTTCCAATACCAATATACTAAATTAATTTGATAAAATTGTCGTTTTCTTCCCGAAGTATCAATGGAAGCATAATAGCTTAGCTAAGTCTTTGCTCGAGAAAAGTAATATCGTAATTTTTTTGCGGGAAAATGACTGAAAATTTTCTTAAAATCCAAGAGCTTCCGGGGGTTTCGCCTCAGGGCGGCCCCAGACCGTTTTCTGCGTACACTTCATTTCCATGTTGGCTACGCGCCTGCGGAAAATAAAATAACAATAAGATAAATAATATTTAAATTTTTACTACATTATAGAATTATTATTTAAAATTTAACAATTTTGAACTTATACATGTCTATATAAGTATTTCTTCTTCAATTTTTTTGATAGACTTCCGACAGATTCCCAGCAGGAATGAAATTAAATAAAGAAATACAAACGACATTCGAGGATTCTAGTCCATCTTCGATAAAGGGAGGAGCCCTACAGGAACACTTCTGTGGGTATTGTCAGATGTCTAAGGAAAGTTACAACATTTGTGAAGACTGTATGATATATCTCTGTGAGACGTGTATGGGCAGCTTCCATCCTAAGGATCACACGATCTGTAAACAAGTACCATTCCATGTTTTTGGTTGTTCTAAGCACAAACAAATTTGTCGTTACTTTTGCAATTTTTGCCAAAATTTGAGATGTGATGACTGCATCTTGGCGAATGAACAATGCTCTGGGCATGCTGACAAGCTTGTCAAAATACTGGACCATATTAAATACGAAAAGGTGAGTTTAACATCCAAATATGCAAGAAATAAAACCGGATTATTAGACATACTCATATCAAAACCTAGATTTCTGAAGAGATTCTTGAGAACTACTGTAAAGGTTTCATAATTATTATGATTTAATGAGCTGACAAACAAGATAATGTATATAAATTACATTTGTTTAATCTAATCCAAAGTTTTTTCTCTTTATTTTGATTTATTAATGTAGGACAAATTCGATGAAGCAGTGCAGCAGTTTTCTTCTAGATCGTCTCGGTCCATCAACGTGCTATCAGATCGACTTGAAGAAATTGAGGAAACTATTTCGGTGTGTAGAATCCTTTAGAAACACAATGTCGGATGAGAAATTGTTTTAAACAATTGGGACCAGTTGGTCATAATTTTGTTTTTTATAGTACTTTTTCAGTTAAAGTTTACACTACAGAAAATGCCTGTAAAAATTATACTCTTTTTCTAATAAAAGATGAATGGAATTTTGAACAAGGAAATTTTGAGACAAGAATTTGCATCGCTTCATCAACTGATTACAGAACGGGAACAAAGACTTTATCAAAATTTTGATCAGGTATTTCAATATTTTTGTTTTTAAGGCTATATACATGTATTTCATTAACTTTAAATTTTCATGTTGAAAAAAAAGAGATGGATACAAAATATTGAATATTTACCATTCTTTGTACCAAATCTCAATGTCGCATAAAGTTCGCTTGTAGTACTTTAAATTTTAAACTGATACCTGATTTCTAAGGAATATGGGTCCTGTCTAAAGAGGATCCAACAGTACAAAAGGCGGTATGGATCGATCATGCAAGCTGATAGCAAACTTATATCGACATCTTTACAGTTTCTTGGCAAGGAATCCTTGATGGAATTTTTCTTCGTAGGTCCACACTTCTTTTGATTTGCTTTGTTTTTATATATAAATTTATTTTCATGAAGATGGAATTTTACAATTTGTTTTTAAAGTTATAAGTCTTGTTTCTAGTAAGTCAAATATGTTGAAGAAGTCTAATTGAAATTTCCATATGAAGAATAAAATATAACCAGTACTACATACATGAACCAATGAAAGTATAATATTATATCCGCTTATATTGTCTATTTTGTAGAGTGCTGAAAAGATCTGGAAAAGGTGTGTGTTTGTTTCTTCTTAAAATAAAAAAATTCTATTTAATGTATTAAGAGCAATTAAATGAAAACAAATGTAATGTGTTGTGGTAATTTTTTTAAATGTAGGTTTGATAAGCATAAGAAGAATTTGGAATATCTACCTAGCCCTGATGCTCTACTTCAGTCTCCGATTCTATCGCCAATGTCTCTCTATGTAGAAAAATCAGAACTGGACAAATCTCTACAATTCAACAGTCTTGGTATTTGTCAACATATTAATTTCATATCATTAAAACATAAGCTCTCAGAAATAAATAAAATGTAGACAAATTTATCTTTTTCTAGTCTGTTTTGGTAAATCGTAATATTTATGAAAAATTTCATGAAAACATGATTTTAAATTAAGGCGAATGTAGCCATAATGCTAAATGATTGAACCACTGATTGTAATATAAATGATATTGATTTCATTTTTTAGGACCTTGCTCTATAAGCTGTCGGCGATATGTAGTGTATATTGAGGATGTCAAGGCACCTATTCGTATAGATGACTTTATTTCCATTCCCAGCCCAACTCTCTCCAAATCTTTGTCGATTTGTGTGGAAATCCTAACATCTGTAAAGAGAGTAATCAGCCGTTCTGTTCATCATTCATTAGACGAATACGTCGCCAATGCGAAAAACCTTATATCCTTAGAACCGTCTCACAGATATATATTCAAATTTCATGTACAAACTTCATTCCAAATGTCTGACAAGAGGATTACGAAGAGAATAAGCAGTCCTTGCCACATCCTGGTGATCACAGGTTTACAGAATATCTATCTTTACTTAATTATTTGAAAAATAACTAAATAAATACAAAAAAAAATAAGCAGCAAGATCTCACATAATTTTATATGTACGTATATTTATTTGGCGTTGTAATAAGTATTTTGCACTTAATTTGTAATTTCAATGTCTTAATTTTAATATGCAATTTTAATGAAAATTTAACAGCAGCAATAATATTACTATCATTTAACCCACCCCCTCTCTCTTTCTCTGAAATAAATTTTCTCATTTATTATTAGATAAAGCACCAATACACAAAGAAGAAAAGCAACCAAAGATGAACGTCACCAAGTGCGAAGATTTTGTTAAAACGTTGATTAGCAGGGTAGAAAGGAAGTTGAAGTTAAAGGACGACGTACAACATGAGGTTTTCTTATTCTACATGATCCACATCTTATGACAACTTATTTATTTCAATTTTTTATAATATAGCAAGAAATGTTTTATTTCACAGGAGAAACTGGATTTTTGTTGCTTGC